AATTCAATACTTATTCATAATAACAATCAGACTGTTCAGACCTAATGTAGAATCACAAAAGCTTGCGTATCTATAATAATGCGTGGGACACACGTCAATTGCGAGTACAATACTGCAGAAGTGAAAGTATTGAAGACCAGTTTTATAACACTAAATATACCAACTCAGATTGACTAAAAATATAATTCATATCGTTTTCAAAACAAACGAATCAATCGTTATTCAATTTATTGTTATAATGCTCTTTTAAAAACTGAACGTAACTCATCGAACGCTGCGAACTTATCGTCGTTCTCTGAGTGTTACCTCGAATCAGCTAAGTTAAGAAGATCGTTTGACCCTCACGAGATTTGTACCTTTTGTAGTACTCCCACGGGTTTAGAGGATGTCTCGAGGTATCCGCAACTATTGGCCACCTTGTTAGAGGATCCTGCATGGACAGAGGAGGACATCAAGAAACTAGCCGGCCTCAACTTACTGAGGGTATTCGCGAAAGTCGAACAGGTATGGTGATGTTCGTTTCTAATCGGCTACAGGATGCCGTTTTACGATCATTATTTACGATGACTGTATAAAAAAAAACGTTTCGGTTGCTAAAATAAAACATATATCCTACGATGGTGACTAGGTAATTCCGGATATCTGACTACGATTAATCGCGCGTGCTTGCTGAATATATTTATCAACGCTTTTGGATGGTTATTAAAATTTTAACACTCTTTGTTATGCACGCGCTAAGTTAATTGAGTGCGTTGTAACTATGGCGCCTGCTCCTGTTTTCACAAATTCATTGTTGGAATTATTTTCACGCTCGCAATAAAGATAACAGCTCTATCTGGCACAAAAAATAAAAATAGCAAAAACAAGCTTTTTCAAGCAAATCGAATAGTTACGTAGGAAAAAAATTAAGACATTAATAAACAATGAAATATAATATTATCGTGACTAAATAACGCGAATATTTTTGTAGAAAAATTTACAACAGATGCTACATACATTTTCTTCCCATAAAGATTAGTCTTGATCAACTTTTTCGCGTAGAAAAAACAATTTTATTAAAGTACCTAAAAATTTAGATACAGATTTGAAAAATTTTGTTGGACCATCAAAATAATCATACAAAAAAAATGATCGAGCAGAGCTGCAGAAAGTTTTGCATGGATACATTAAAATAAAGTTATTAATCTCTCTCTCTCTCTCTCTCTCTCTCTAAATTAATTTTTAAATGATTGAAATAATAACTGACAGCGACGATATGAATGAGCATTTTATGAACTTTATTTCAATGTACTAATTTTTCCTTAAGTGTACCGTTCATTATTATGATAATTTTTGGTTTCCATGAAGAAAAGTACGTAAGAAGATGTAAAAATAAAACGATCTCCGAACGATCGCAAAAAAGTGAAAGTTGTACTCTCTTTTTCTTAGACAAATTCAAATGTCCTGCACACACAATTATTTTGATAGTTTAACCAAATTATTTTTAGGTCTGTCTAAAGTTCTTAGATGCTTCAGCAAAACTGTGAAAAAAAAAATCCAAAAATGGTATCAAACGCAGATCGATTTTGTTCCCCCATTTCTTATCTTGCTGTAGTAAGCAATTATTATCTTTTCCGATAACAGGTTCGTGACGAGTGGCACAGAGCAGCCGTGTTACCTGTGGAGAAGATCAGTCCACCAGACAACTCGGCCTGCGTTTACGGCGCGTCCTGATCCTCTTTAAGGACAATTGTGCCGGGATTTCTCGACTTTGCACGATCGCCGAAGATCCTGAGGATGCCGCGGTATTACTGGAGCCTGTAAGGACGCGTGTCCCGAATCGCCAAAGGATTCGTACCGTAAGAAAGCTTCACGGATATCTCTAATGGAAACGACCGACCAATCTGCACCGAAAGAACTGCCGACTTCTACTTCAGGGACTCCGTCGCGCCTTAACGAGAGACGAAGATTCAGCGCGGGAATGCGACTGGTCTTTCGAAATTAATGGCGTCGAGGATCCTTCGGAGACACCTTTGGGACGTGGCGAGCCCGTTCACCTGCGACTCCGTTTGAAAGATCTCAAGCGCCGTTAACGACTGTAAATTGCGATCGTATTTGAGAAATAATTATCCCCCTCTTACAAGCACCACTTATTTTTGCGATATCTGATGAATTAGTAATCTCATAATGTTAAAGAAAGATTAATGATTGTTTTTAACTCAGTACTTTTTCCACGCTTGCAAATTATTGGATATAATTTTGCGATCATTTGTCAGGCATTTCCGTCCAGACTTCAAACTTGGCTTAATAACACTTATTTATTTATTTCGCAATTTGCATCACTTGCACGTTAAAGTGCATATTTTACATACGCCATACCATATATTTTACCTCGAAATGAATAATAATAATAATAATAATAATAAATACGGAAAACTTGAAAGTTTAAAAGTTTGAATCACGATTTCATAATTTCGCTTCGTAAATTTTTAACTCTAGATAAATTCGCAAAAATACTTGTTATACACATAACTTATTTAAATTATTTTGTTAATCGCAAAAACGATCGAGAGAATTTTCGAAAAAATTTTGTCGAAAAAAACAGGTCATATTCTCAACGTACATTTAGTACCAACTACGGTCGATTGATTCTCATATCATGTCTCCAGTACATGGAAACACGATCTGTTAAATTAACAAAATTCAGAACTAGGCAGCCATATTTAGTATTAAATGTGCAAGAATATGGACAAATTGCATGTGACAATTGTACGTGATTAATCTTGTAAGATTTCTTGCGTTTAAAAAGAAAAGCCGAAATAGTTCGAATGGAGTACACAAATATCATCAGGCGTGGCATTTATATCGTTCTTTATAGGTACTACGACCAGAGATCTGGAACGATCATAAATGGCATCACTGTCATACACCAAAGAGATAAGCCGTACTTTTTATAATTTTTAAATAAATTAATGATACTATATTAAAAATATCCTGTGCGTCCTAAGAAATATTTGAATTCAATCTCACGTTATACGAGAATCATAAAAATAGATATTCGTGTACTATCTGTACATTTCCGTCAACTTATTTTTATTCGAGCTTGTATAATTAGAAACAATATCGCCAAAAAAAAATCTTTTCTTCGAAATTTGCAATTTTTTCTTTTTGCATTGACTTTATTATTAGTCATAAAAGCTTTTCTCTCTAAATTCTTTAAGAAATTGATATTTATAAATTCTCTCTTTGAGCATTTTGCATTTAATCGTTCCATAATAAAGAGAAAAATAGCTGAATAAAAGAGGTCTTACCCTATCTCTGATTTATAACATTAAATACATGAATAAACATTAAACAAAAGCTTTCAAAGTTCACTTAAGATTTACTTAAGATTAAATGTAGAGTAAGATTTCGTTACTTGTTTGTACTTTTAAAAGATAATTACGAAAGATCACTCATATCCAATCGCTTATATAATTGAGAAATTATTAATATTTCGATAGTTTTTAAGATGACTCCAAATTTGTCAATGAATTCGCCACCGATGGTGTTTGTCAGTGTAATTTTGAAACGCCCTATACATGAATATCGAATCAGATAAGTGCGCTTATGATATGCGAATATAACGAAATCTCCAAAGAGAGAAGTTTGAGAATGCGAGAGATATTAAATTTCTAACGATTAATTAAAGGCTTCGAAGGTAGCTCTCATGCGTCAATAATAAAAAAGAAAAAAAAAACAAATCGTTCGCTTTATGGCGAGTTTCTTAATTGATATAGCAACGTAACAAAGCGAAATTTCCTGTTAATCGCGCATCGATTCCATTTTAAAATTTAATTTACTTCTTTCTATAAATTTAAGCTTCCGGAACTGAAACGGTAGACTTGTATTGTAACTCACAATCAGTTATAAATCTCTTTGTCGAAAAAGTCAAACAATTCAATTCTCTTTATGTTACATCTGAAAATTTATACTTATTCATGTTAAATAATATTTTAAGAAGAACTTAAATATTCATTCCATTTTATACAAATTATGTCATTTTCGTTCCTTGAAATTAATTAGTGCCTCTCTTAATTAACATGAATTAGATGAGTCTTGCAAACCCAGCGTCAATAATTATGATTTTGGCCTCAATTCCGGAAGGTTAACAATCTTGTCCAAATTCACACGCTATCGATAAAAACACAACACTTCTAACTGAGATCGCATACAAAGAATATTGGCTATTCTTGAAATCTATTTTTGACATGCTGTTTGATTATGTTTAAGAGTGCGTATGTAAATGCCACTCGTTGCCGATATTAATTCACTGTGACACTTATATCGGATTTTGCGAACACCTTAGGCGTGAACCTATAACATTCTTAGTTTCGAAAACGTAAGCAAAAATACAACAATGTTGAGTCGATAATTCAATTGATAACAGGGTTGCCACAAATTCCTCGTCCTAAAATTCCATAATTCGTCCTGATTTCCAAATAAAATTTCATAACTTTACCTGACTTTCAATAATATTTAATCAATATTTTTGTTTTTTCCTCCTGACTTGGAAACCATTAAATATTTTGTTGAGAGAGCAATTTAATATAGCAATCTACATTATTATTAATGTTGTTTATACTGCTTGCATTTAATTGTTAAATTGGTAGTATTTCAAAAATATATAGATGTGATGTTACAAACATTAAATTTCTTTAAAACTAAGAATTTTAATTTTCCATTTTTTCAAAAAATTTTAAAAAATTTCTTGATTTTTCCCTGATTTCCCCAACTGTTTTCAATTTCTCTAACATTACTCTGATTTCCAGTTTTGTGACAACCCTTGATAATTCAGCAAAAATTCTTTATAATGACTTGCCGATACATTTCTATACATCTGCATAGACAAGTTTCTCGGAGCGTAATAGATTGGCTATTACGCTACTTCGCACAATTTTGCTCGAGTTCCATCGCTGTATTTGCTGCTCCGATTGCACGAACCGTCGTCCTGAATCGTCCTACAGCCACAAGTGCTTTGAGAACAAAACGTTGATTTAACAAATCACTTGCAACGCGTAACGCGACCTATACTCTTCGGAAGCTATTGCTAATATACAAGCCGTTCGTTTTGAAAATGGCGTAAAACAGTTTTCAGAAGTAGAACTTGTAGAGGCAGATTGCAAGGAGCACGAATTTATAGTGCAATAGTAGAATTTAGAGTGCATCACAAACTTGGACTTATGCCACTTTCAAAATAACTGTACGACCAAAAACTCCTGGATGCGTCGCGGATAGTTTCGTGACTTCTCTAAGGGCTGTGATATTTTCCGCGGGCCTCGTGAAACATTTTGTGCTTCCATCTTAAAAAAAAAAAAAAAAAAAATCGGGGCATGTCGCAGAAGGGAGGAAAATGTATCGAAGAAAGTCGCATTATTGCGAATCGAAGACGTGGGTACGTTACGCTCGACAATTCATTAAAACGATAAAACGATATAATAGTCGGTTTAGCTACACGACAGAATGCTCCTTGACGGAAAAGATAGGTATTTCGTAAGAGATATTTCGGAAATGTATCAGAGAGTGAGAGAAAGAGAGAGAGAGCCCCGAAAAGACGAGAAGGTTTACGAAACTTTTGGTATAATATAAATATAATTTTTAATTTCGTACCTTGTTACAAATCACACATAGTCTTGTAAACGCTTTTATAGTTATTCGGAAAATTTATAGTAAAGTAACAAACATTATCTACAGCTCAATCGACCGTCATACCGCTTTAATCGAACGAATCGCGAGACACAATCGCGAAAAAAGAGAAGCATGCGTATTGCGTCGATGCGCCGAGATTTTCCGATTACGACTTTGTTAATATCGTATTAAATGATAGCAGTATTTGGAAGGGTAGATAGAGCGAGGACGATAAGAAGCATAACGTAGTCTAGCGTGGACTGTACATCTACGAGGAAATTTTTCAATACGTACTAAACACACTGTATTAACGCGAAAGCACATATTCGCGTACACACATTTTTGAGAACAATCGAGATGCCTTCGACGACTCGCGGCGCTGCTCCACGAGCTACGGGATTTTCGTCCGCACAAACTGTCAAAGAACTAGACTATTGACAAAGAACATGCTTTTTGCAATGCGAGAAAAAAAAAACATGAGTTTAAATGAACTTAGTCTTTAATTAAAAATATATCGTTGGCTGTATGTCCCCCGCGACAACATTCGAAACTCGATTCAGCAAGAAAAGCGAATTCCTTGTTTTCCCTCGAAATAAAGCTATCAGCATGCATTTATCCCGAGAGATCTAGCAAATACAATGAAAATTGTCAAAATACCAAAAAAAAGAAATTTACGATTAATTGATAACCATATTAGAGAGTGAGGCGCAGCTCCCTTTTACATAAATTTTAGCAGCAATAACGCAAGTAACCGCCAAATAGTCTACTCAGTCTACTGTTAAGTAGCATAAACGACCAATAGGAGGATACGTATATAATTTCTAATTCGAGTAAGTCTAACGAGTACGTAATTACGGCACTTTGCTCAATACCACCGATTAGGACGTCAGGAAGACACACACATACCGTTCTTTCCGTAGCGTTTCCGTAATGTAAAACCTTCGTAATTTTAACTACGTTTAGATGAACAAACGCGCGACCGCGTCACGATTATTCTTTATAAATAATTTATGGATCTTTCCTCTGCGCGAGGCAAATATTGCAAATGACGCCGAGGCAAATATTGCAAATCGACTCAAGAGTTGAGGGGAAATTATAGATAATTATTTTGAGTGTGTATGAATGAGCGAGACACATGTGAGCGAAACGAGAAAGAAGATATATTGTCAAAAAAAAAAAAAAAAAAACACCCAGGAATAATTTCGAGCGTTTCGAGAAGGTGGACGCGAAAATTGTATCCGAAAAACGTCAATTATTTATGTATGTAGACAAAATGGAATTTATCGATACGCCCGTGCCTCGTATCGTTTGGACAATCTATAATTCTCACGTTTAATTTGTCTCGGAGTAACGTTTCATCTTACGTTCACGATCACGCCATTTTTCGCGATATGAAAAAGTCTAATAAAAAAAAGATATGTATGCATAGATGAATGTAAACGTTCTTTTCTCGAACAGCTCGACCATTATTCTCCCGATAGATCAACGTGTTCATTTTGTAATATCTAACGAGTAGGGCGATCAACTACGTACGCGAAATAGAATTCATTTTTTCTAAGATGACGTAACTGAGGAAAAATCAGAGAGGAAAAGGAAAAGATAATAGCGAGAAAAGGAAAAGATCTTAGTTGTATAAACCTTACCGTATATACCATAAAAACACACAACTGCCTAGAAACTCAGATTAATAAATATATATATT